CTCCCATGGCAGCGCTACACCAAAGAGAAAACACATCACTCTTCAACTTACAAACGAAACAAAATCAGGGAGACGATATTTTTACAAACGATGCGGAGCGGAGAGGAAAATATTCAAAGAACCTCGTCATATGAAATAACGAGTGCTCTGGTTGAAATTACCTCACGCCCTAAACTTGTTTCGCGTAAAAAACGCCATTGAATGTTGTTTCCCTTTGATTCGTGAGAATAATGATTCGATTCGTATTTATTTTATAATGGAATCGGTATATTTGACTGGCGTTTTCTTTTTTATTTGATTTCTGCGGCGGCACACTTGTGTTTAATAATTATATGAATTGAAAAAATATGTCTTTTTCGTATTGATATTGTTCATAGATATCGTTTACGGTATATAATAACAAAATAAATTTACATAAAAACAACTTACAATGCGCGCGAAGATATAGAGTAACGAGAAAATATAAAATAAGAATGATGTAGACACAATTATAAGAAACTTTTTTTAGTAAGAAACATGAAATGAAATGAAAATGTTTTATTCAAGTAAGCTTGTTACAAGTACTTTTGAATCGTCCAAAAATATTTTTTCCCCTACCACTTGTTCAGGACGTCTTTTAATATAAAATAAGTCAGAAAAGAATTCGTGTCTAATGCGTGAACAGCTATTAACAATAAAGTTAATTAGGAGGTAAAGTCTTTTGGAGTCTAAGTCTAAGTATGACCTTGCTTAAAGTAGAAAATTTTCGACATGGTCAATAATCTTAGTTGATTTTTTTTGGTATATCTTCTCAATACAGAGATTTACTACCAGAGATTTGCAAGCCTCTAGCGTGGCAGTGATAGTACCTAAGTAAATTATAACTGTATTGTAAGAGAAATTCGAAATGCGAACAAATTATACGGATTTCATTTTGACATTTTAAAACTTAACCATTATAAACAACTTAATTCACACCAAAATTAGAAATGCAACTATCTGTTACGACACGTTTAAAATTGTATATTTGTGTTTTTTTTTTATTTAATCACACCATTGGAGAGACCGCAAAATATACAACGCAAACAATTCACGGTAATCTGGAAACAATTACATATTCTGGTCAGCCGCATGTTAAAAAGTCACGCTCGAGAAAATCTCCTCCTTATACGCCCGGCGGATTCCGTAATATAAATATAATAAAAATTCTGAAAGGAAAATGGCCAGAGATGAAGTGAGGGTGGAAGAAGACCATTTGATTTATTCAGAAGCAGTGACTTTACTATAAGCTTATAGATGTGACGCAAATGGTCGTGTTAAAATGAGACAGCATTGTTACGCTGAATCACTGCAATCGCGTAACATTCACCTGTTCCTTGGCCAGGACCGCTAACACCATATGTGCGATATAAAAGTCATACTTCGACACAATCTTAAATAAAGGCCAAGGTCATTTAGCAGCGTATAAAATATCTGTAGATCATCGCAGTTCCTCGTCATATTTGGAATTGGCAGAAGTAGGCAGGAGAGAACTGAGATATATAAGACGCGACCTAAAATGGTTTATTTCTGCCTAAAGTTTTTCACTTTAACCTTAACAAAATTCAGATCGAAATGATTGGGAAATTTTTGAGTACCGTTGGTAACAAAATTTTATACTTCTTCTTCTTCTTCACCATGATGATCTTACTTTAGACAATCTCCATAAAACTAATGAATCGTATGCCTTAATTTTCCGCATCAATTATTGCATCACTGGTATGTAAACTGTATAATATTTTAAATACTTTTACAGTTGATCGCGTTCAGACAAACAGACGCTGATTGAGAACTTTTTTATAATATTTAATTTAGTGGTGAAGCCCTAATACGTTCCGGAGAGTCACAATTTCACGATCGTGGCATGAGAAAATACGTTTTGGATTCAGCATAATTAGGTTGTGGGAAGCCTTTCCTAGCTTTGTCAAGTCGCTCTCTGTTTTATTCTCATGTACCTTACTCTGAAGCATGAATGATATATGAAATTTTAGAAAGATACCAGATGTTTTCCCGCGACAATGCTCGCTTAAATTATAGCGTATTCCGCCAGCGGCTTTGCCCGCGTGGTCTTGTATTATACATAAAAACCTTCCTTTTGAATCACCCTATCTATGAAAAAAACTGCATCAATATCCGTTGCGTAGTTTTAAAGATTTAAGCATACATAGGGACAGAGAGACTTTGTTTAATACTATGTATTGATATCAACAGCGTATGATGTAGCTTCCACAAAATATTTTTTTAAATCGATCCAATAGTTTCGGAGCTTATTCGATGAAAATAAACAAAAAACAGTTCTTTCTTTTTTATAATATACGTATAGTCAATTTTTATTAAGAATTGAAATTTAAATTAAAACATATTTTTATATTTCTATTATTACGACATGTTGCCATGTCCTTGTCTTTTTGTTTGACCGTCAATCTAATTAAAATTAAAATAGAAATGTAATTTTGTAAAATGCTATTATAAAACAATGGTTTTTAATTATACAAATTAATTTATTCACAGAAGTGTAAAATAAAATAATTGTTCTTGTCCGGAAACGTATGTTTTGTTGGTTTAATAAAAAAAAACTGGTGAAAAAAAGGCTAGTAAGCCTCGCTGTAAGGTATTTGCTAGTCAAGGGCAATTTAAACCAAACAAGCGATTGCTCATTCTATCCCCACTCCTTTATTTTATTTACTATTAACAGTCTTAGAACATTCGCTTGTTGTTCTATTTGCGTTCGCAAAGATTTTATTCAGCATTCTAAAAATGCTCGTCCACTTGGTGTAAATGGCATTAGAACGTACGCTTAAAGTGTTCTTGCGTGTTCGGGGGCGCTCGTTCATCGGAGCGATCTCTTCAAAGCATTCTTGTAGTGATTTGAGTACACATATTTTTGTACACATAGTTTGATGTAAACTTTGTGCAGAATTCTAGTTTTTGTTTCAAGAGATACGTGATATTATTATAATATAAACGAAGTTTCGTTTAAACCAAGAAAGAATGCTCGTGTTCTTGTTGTAGCTCTTTGTTCGTTTGGTTTGAATATTGCTTTACCTTACTTAAACCGCGTTAGTATTGGCCTGCACTGAGATGAGCTCTCGTTGATTCACGGATGGGACCTGGAGTCCTGAATTACAGGGTTGCCCTAGCTTAGGCTCCAGATCGCACAAAATAATTAATCATAAATTGTTTGCCCATCAATCAATGATTGTGTGATAAATAAACTAATTATTATTATTAAAAAAATGCACCTTAAGGAGTATTATTGTTCGAGACGCGCTGCGCTGATATGAAGATGTGTATCCGGAGCAGTGTAAAATTGGGGTTGAAATCTTCGATTTTTTTAAAATAAGATAATATATTATTCGGATAGGCAAATTTTTCGCCGATGTGGCTACAATTAATTCCATGATATTCAAAATAGTTTATTCTTCTTTTAATTTTATTATTAAGGGCTTATCTGCACGTTTCGCACAATTCTGCGATTGTCAAGTGAATAGATTATTTCTAAATGTAAAACGAAACAAATGAAAGAGTTTATTTACCTTTAAACAATTATAATAACATATGATTTTGACAATGAAGTTTATTTACCTTTGAATACATTACAGTGTGAGTCCTGCAAGTATATTGTCTCTCTTCACTGCGATTCGGGTCCTAGCAAACATTTGTCTGACTTCAATTTTAAGCTTCTTTATTGATCTTCTTAGTAGCTTATACTCTTTTATTATATTATTCTTATAAGTAGTTTTCCAAAACTACAAATATTGTAATGATTAAGAATGTCGATTGTTGCTTCTCAATACATATGCGCGAACTAAATGTACATTCGTAAAAATATTAGTTTGTTTTCTATAAAAAGTGATGTACACAATTGTAATAAAAGTAATAAAAATAAATTAACGGTGCCTGTCACTAGACTGCAAAAAGTTAATCATTCAGGGGTCTTTGTGTGCGCTTCTACAATAAGGTCCCAAGCAAAATACAATAATTAGATATCATGCAGTTTAAATATACTATTGAAAAGCTTATTATAAGGTATCCGATTATATAACAGATAAGAATGCTTGGAATTAAAATGGTCCAGCAACTGGATAGGTGATTTCTTCTAAACTCATTATATCTCAAAAATTATCTTTTTGCAATTATTATTAAATTATAAGTCCATAGTTTTTTTTTCTCTATTTATAATAAATTGATCTGGTAATGACATGGTTTTTGTGAATTGTAATTAAAAAGTATTAAATGAAAATAAGTAATTTAAAGAAAAACAAAAACCCGATTGCGTAAAAACGAATTTTAAAAAATACATTTGAAATTACAAAATACATTAAAATTCGTTTTTACGCAGTCGGGCTTTTTGTTTTTCTTTAAATTATATATTTTTTATATTCTATGCTAGTCTCAGCTTTATAGAAAAGCTGTGATATTATGTTTCACTAACATGAACTTGGAGCTCACCTAACCGTTGTATAGAGCAACTTGCTACGATTAGAAGTGATCACAAAGAGTCATACGAGTTCAACGACACAGGAGAATCGGCAGGACACACATACGGGCAAATAAAACGCTTTTTGTACTGATTATTAATGAAAAACAAAATTATGTTATAAAGAGGAAACAGTCGATTGTTTGTTTTGAAACTACTGTACTAATTTTCAAATTCTTTCACCTACTGGAAGATACATAATACGCGGGAGACATTGGCTATAATTTATACTGGCTAAGTCGCGGATTTGACATTTGTTTTTGAAGTATAAAAAAGTTTTCGGAATGCAATCAAATACCTCCTTTCTGACCAGACAAATAAAACTTTGCTACTCCATAGAAATACTAGAAACTATGGATGGTGGGATATGAGGGATATAGTCGGTTAACTATAGGAATACAATTGAAACTTTTAACATTCCAGGGGTCGAAAACAGAATATTATATTAGGCCGAAAATATATCAAAACAACGCTGACGTCTTGTCACGAAATAGATTAGCGTATGTGTCCACCCGCTGACCGTCCGGATCGGATCACATCGCTCGGAAAATTCGATAAAAAGCGTCCGTACGTCGCGCGGCGCAGCGGCGCGGCGGCAGTGTTGACATTGCTGAGAGGTCGCCGTTAGGCATATGGCAACATTGACATGGGTGACGCGCTTGATGTTTGTTTATATTTACATTATGCATTATCCCATTTTGCGATAGACGTTAAGCTTCACAGAATTTTCCCTAAAACCATAGGAAATATTTGTCTTCCAATGACACTTATATTTAATAAGTAGTAAGTGTTTACATAGGTGAAATACAAACTTTCATGAAAAGCTGCATGCTTTCTGATTAAAATACTTAAGAATATTTTTCTATAGCATATCTATAATGACTCACATCTTTTTCCGGCGGGATAGGCAGAGACCACCTCCTTCCATTTCGCACGACCCTGACATACCTCTCTCGCTTCTTCCACACGCATCAATATTTTCAACAAGAACGCCGGTTCAGGGTACTCTTGACCTGACCTTTTTTTAATATATATAAATATTTTTTGCTGCCAATAATAAGTCATTTATCGATAGTGTTCAAAGATCAAATATCTTTCAGATTTTGAGCTATTTGCAGTCCAGTCCAATACGAACTGCATTCTAATATTTAATATAATAATGAAGTTTATTTATTTATTGTTGCAGGACCGCGGTGGGTGGTCACAATGGAGTGAATGGTCGCTCTGCTCGAGGACATGTGACGGTGGCGTGTCGCGACAACTGCGCACTTGTTCATCGCCGGCCGGCTGCCGGGGCGAGCCGGTCCGGTACAAGATCTGTAACATGCAAGTGAGTACGCTCTCTTATTCATATATATATAACCAAATAAGAAAGCAAATAATTGTTGAAATTAATAATTTAAATATTAGTGTTTATTATATATAACACTTTGTATCTTTTATAGAAAAAAAAATTATTTAAGTGAATGATAACTGTTGATCTATGTGGCAAATTTTATTAAAATAAGTAATATAATGTGTAAAATTTTATCGGTACTGTAAAAATTAAAAATATATGAATAATATAAACAAAAATTGTTAGTATAAGTAGAAACAAGTAATTTAAAAGATTTTATGAGACCAAATTTGATAAAATGGAAAATATTTTGATCGCTTTTAAAATAATAAGGAATTGCATTCAACCCTCAATCAATACAAAAATTAATGTATTAATCTTCCAAAGAAAAACGAAACATTATAAAATAATCATGATATTAGAAAAATAAAAATTTAAGAAAATCTAACATAATAAACATTTAATTAATCACACCATAAAACACGTTTCGGAAATACTTTATGATTTTTGTTTAAACTTAAACCTTGTTGATTTAATTTTAAGGGAAAGAAAATTACTGAGTATTACAATCAATTTTCTGGCTACTGTACAAATAGTGAGTTAACAGCTCTGGCTGAACATCGTAACAGGCGCAATCAAACTGTCTCCGCCGCTGTCGCGACTCCAGCGTAATTGGTTTCATATGTACACTCGGGGACAATATTAATGGAAACTCATATAAATATTATTTAAGTAAAGCCTAAAAGAGCAAACTATTTGAATAATTTAATAAAACGCAATTATTTCTAATACCCCACCAATCAGTATAACTGTGTCCCTACCTAAAACATTTTTTTTGTTATATTCATTCAAATTGTATTTTCTACAACGCAGTCTCCGCTAATATTGTAAATATTTATTTTTTGTTAAAATCTGACTTGTATTTCAAAGAGACATATGTGAAATATGGTATCGATTTAACATATGTGTCTTAAAATCTACACGTAAACTTAAAAGAGAAAATGAGAGTCAACACGCCCATCCGTGAGAGGGATAGGGACAGAGGACTGAATTAATTTAAATGAATTACTCGCAAACTAGTTTTGACTTCTTAAATATAAATATAAAAATATGATTTATATTCCCCTTTTTCAGTTATTTACTTTTTTACCTTATTTGCACGGTTTTTCTTTGTAAAAAATGAAAATTTGTGATTTTTATTTACGCAACCATTTCAACGCGATCGCGACATAAAATGTCCAGTTAAGATTAGCACTTAGATGAAATATAGATAGCTTCTATATAGTAAGTGAGTAAACGACGTGTTCATTACAGATAGTCGATGAGTGTATTTATATATTTTCCGTTAAGCTACGGCTTCCCAAAAATGCGAGACTAGATTAAATGAAAAGGCGAAGCCTAAATCATTAAATATGGATATGATGAAAGCTCGAAGACTAATGCACGTTTTCACTAAACTTTGGAGTTGCCCAAATTTGACGTCTAAATATTTGAGTATTGTTTAAGGTGAAAATTAATTACACCAATGACAAGGAGCTACCTAACGACTTTAAGCAACGCTTAGTTTGGATGTGCATTGCGCGAGGTCTATGACACCAACCACGGATGTTTCAAAGGAAAAACTCAATTACGTTAATTGGAATCATGGAGCTTATTTTTTGTTATTGTCATTTTACGTGTAAAGGCCACTAACGTGACATTAGCGGAATTTTGTAAATGCAATAAGCCCATACATTTAAAAAAGATAAACATTGCTTCCAGTGTTCGATGATAAGTGCTTTGTAAGGCATTATAATTAACTTTAGAGGTTTGATGAAACGACAAATCTGCTTAAGCTATTCTGAATATTAAGTGTTTTTTTAAAGTTGTGCCTTGATCCAGTTTAATGAAAACGTATACCCGTAAACGCTAGGAATATATAACAAGAACAAGATGCATGGTTACAATATCGTAAAAAAACTATTATTCTAACCTTAAAGACCATGAAAGTTAAAAACAAAGCTTTGAATTAAATAAATTTTACCGGTTGTCAGTTCCAAAGGGAAGAATGGATTCAAATATACACCGTTACAGGTTAAGCGGTAAAGTTCTCGTACTAAGCGGGAAGGAGGGTTAAGCCTTTCATTATTACGTCTCGGACGAAACTTTTTCGGGACTTTCAAAAGTTCGAGTTGAATGTTCTAATTGATCTTTGAACATTGGACATTTTGTTGGATAAGATTATATCTTACCGGATATATTAATTATTACTAGCAAATTCCCGGTATTTCGTCTATGTAGGATAATTTTCTTAAATTATTTTTACCAAAAGTATAGCTATCTATAACTCTGACTTTCAATCCCTATTTCATTTTAATTTAAAACTTTCATTTTTATAATAAAATAAATCGGTTGAAACGTTAAAATGCATGACTTAAACAAACTGTATTACTTATTGACAATATTTGTATCACGGAAGTTAATAAATAATTCCCTAGCAATATATTGCGTTTTAATATAACTTTAAGGAATTATACCAGTTCTATAATTATAAGTGAGTTATATAATTCCTGTTAATTATAGTTGCTTTTTAAAATTTTTCATTACTTAAAAGTTCTTAAATAGACCCCTTATTTTTAAATATGCGACTATCATATGTAGATATTGAGCCGAAAAATAAGTAAGAAAAGTATTTTTAAGAAAATTAAAGAAACATCCATGACAACTATTGCGATTGTCCGACAGTGTACAATGCATTTGAAAATATAACGCCACGTATGCTTTATTAAATAAATGCAGAAACAGTGCCAACAAACAGCGACACATTACATGGCTACATTTTTATTTAAGTAACGTTACAGAGCATTTTCGCAAAAGAAATTTTAACAATAATATGAAAATTCAGAAATAGATATATCAGAAGAGAATTTATACTAACAATTGAAAAAGCTTTAGATGACATTTCAACTTTCATATCATTTTAAGCGGGTCTGAATTATAAAAATGCGAATATTACCTCTAGATATAAACCATGAGTAATTTATTATTAATGTTGATACAAATTTAACCAACTTGGTGCGCTTAGGTCCACCTTTTAAGTACATATTTATTTCTTCAATAAAACTTAAATCATTTAATTTTAATTCCTTGTCAGCCTACAGTGACCAAATCTTGAAATATATATATTATTTGAGATACTCATGGTAAGCCCTTTTATTTGATGAGACACAATACAATACATTTTTTATATTTTTAACTAACTGTATTCCCAAGGTTATGCCTACAAAAAAATTATGTATATATCACCTGCGTGTGGTGTAACTTTCCAGTGGTGAAATAATTTTCTTGTTCGATAAGTATTTTCAAAAATTACCCTTATAAACAAACAAACGTTGTTAGAATCTTTACCGGAGCTTCCATGTTTGTTTATTTACTCTGCTCAATCAGCTTTGTGTCACGTACTCACATTATATGCACCAAATTTCAATTTATATAGTCTTGCAGATTCGGAGAAGCCTATTCTATTAAAAACTTAATGAGTGTATCAAACATAACTATATTGTGTATCAAAAAATAATCAGCACGCTACTATTTTTTAATAAAAGAAATCGGTTGACAAATTCAAGAAACTTTTTTCGAATTCGGCGCAGGACGAGAAGTTATTGAAATCGATTAGATAAGGAATTTGAATTGTTTATTTTTGAAACTAATGTTTTATAAAGAATATTCTTATTGCTAATTGAAAAGTGTTATTTTGTAAAACATATGAACAAATACTTTTTTAAAGTATAAAGCTTCTAAATAGAATTTTTCACATTTTACTAAAGCATTGTTTTTAGTTTGAAAATAAAAACCTGACTCAATAACTTTGATAGAACATAAAAGCATTTTTCTGTTAACTTTCGCTCAATGCGATTTGAATTCCAGATTATTCCAAACATTGAATACGAGTGAAGTGTTGTAGAAACGCAAATCAAATAAACAACAAATAAAAAACGCTTACGTTGATAATTATCATTAAATACATTCGAATCTTTTAAACAATTTACATAAGTGATAAGTTAGGAAGTTTCTTTGAAATTGTATTTTCCTCAGCTTGGAAGCGATTCATTTGTTGTTGAGTGACTTCAATAACGATCCTTTGAAATTACTGATTGTTTTTAAAATAAAATCTTTGAGATATGATTGCCTTATTACTTGGAGTATGACTGCATTACATTCATATAATTTTGATAACTGCAACTGCTTTTGGAATAAAGATATATTATATTTAAAGATTTTATACTTCCATAAAACCATATAAACCATTTCTTTTCAAATTTCAATTAATTAATTCAAATGCTTACTCGCTTTTTACGTCTTCTACAAAAAAAATTGTATTTTTTTTATATATTGTGTGTTTTTAATACCACTTCCTGATCATTAACGAAGGTTAGTTTTTTAATCATCCAATTAGTGATGGCTTAAAACTATAATAAACTATAAAACTATATCCGTAGTAAGCTGCACTACAAATTTGCCAATTAAGGGGTATTTGTTTGTTAATCTCTCTCAACGTAGTTTTTTAGTTTTTTTACTAGCATGAATACAACACTTGAATAGTCTAAAATATACTTATTTGAACTCATTTTTTTTTATTAACAAAGCAAACGACGTATATGTATAATGTTCTAGCAAATTGCGCTGGGTGTATTTTACAAAAAAAAACTTCCAGTCTCCAAAATCTTTCCAAAATTTTTAACAATCTTAGGCCAATTAACAGAAAGCCTTAATAATGTGTGCGCCTTAAAATTCTAAGTTATTGAATTCGATTAAGTTCGGGTTGTAAAATTTTTAGTAATGCTTTCTTTTAGTTATAAATAATATAATAACAATAATATAAACAGCGTAACTTAATTTTCATATAATATTATTAAGTTGTTAAGAATTCATTATAGAAATTAATACTTCTTATTTGTAAGTAAACGAGTCTACGTACATTGCAAGGTCTGTATCTTTGATATAAGTTTAGCTTTATTATCGAATAACTGTTTTCCCGCGACTCCGCCCGCATAATTTATAGCCTATATTACCCGCGTATGATGTAGCTACCAGTGGGTGAATGTATTTTTGTAATTGGTCCAGTAATTTCGGAGCCTATACAATGCAAACAAATAAATGATCAAACCATTCCTCTTTATAATATTAATAAAGATTATTCAATTCAATTCATTTCAATTCAATAAAGTTTAATCAAAGTTTTCTGAATCGATTAATACCATTATATTCCTGTCGCTCTGGTAACAGGCAAATTTACACCTAGTTCAGGCTCTAGTATCAGTTCATATTTGTTTCCAAACATCAACTACTAACTGCTCCGAAGTTATGCACTCCTGATACACAGAATAATCGAAGGCATGTTCCTGAGGGAATACTGATACTTAAACACCGTTAATAACGTGTCTATTTAAGAACTTTAATATTCCTAATGAAAAATGCTAAAAAAAAACCACTTTGTCCCACTCTGAGATGGGACTCAAACGCATGACCTTTCGCAACCCGGGCGACTGCTCTAACCACTGAGTTACCCAGGACCTGACAGGACTGACGAATCTCTCAAGCACTTGTTACTTTTTCGCTACTACAGAGCGTACTTTGATCATTGTTCAGGCAATCCACCCAAGCAGCCGAAAGAAATATATTTATAAATATTT